TTTTTCGGTTATTTTAAAGAATGTTTGGAATATCTGTGCATGTTACAAACCTGTCGTATTCATTCCCCTTACAAGAATTGATTAAATTAAATTGATAAAATAATGCATAGCAACACGAAGACGATCTATCAAGGGGGTGCCTTTCGCGAGGACTTTCTGTGGAAAACTAGCTCCTATTTAGGTGTTTGACACGTTGCTACGGGTGTGTCTCCCTCAAGGAAATTATATGAGAAAACTAAGACCTGTTTAAGTGTTAGATACGTGAAAAAAACCCAGAGAACTCAACGTAGTCAGACGTGAACCCACAATGAATTACATTGTTCTGTGATTTTATTCACTCTGCCATTGATGAACCAAAGACATTTTAAAGTTATTCAAGAAAAACCGTTCTATATTTATCTCACAATCATGAAAACATGTAGGGAATCGTTTCGTATCTTTCTCGTGTTATTCTCTAAAGACTTGAAACTGTGTTATGTTTAAAATTATTAGAAAATTAAAAATATATCCAACATCGATTCCCTAAGTTTTAGACGGCGAAAACACTGGAAAATATTCGTAAATTTTATTCTAAACCGTACCATTTTCTAATAAATGTAAATGTTATTGTATTGAATTTCATAGTCATCGAGTGTTTTTCTTGTAAAATACAAGAAATTTAGAGGAAAATATTTAAAAACAGGAAAATATTTACGTATCGGAGCTTACAAATAAATTTAATAAAGAATAATTTGCGGAAAAAGACAAGTTTTGTGAAGGACATATTACATTACTTCATGTAAATTCCATTGCGTGACAGAAATTACATGTGATACTTTATATAACTATTACCACTACCTTTAGTATGGAACCACACCATCTAAGAAATAATTCTATGGAATCCTATAGAGTGGGTCCATAATATTATTTTAGCTTACCAATTTTTCTCAGGAAACAAAGAAGCGATCCGTGTAATTTTCCCTTTCATATATATATTTGTGTTTGTGGGGGAGGGATGTATTTGTGTTGGCATCTATTTGGCCTTATATCGCAGGATAGGGTAAAGATTAAGAAACGAAATTTAGTAAGGTGGCTACTATATGAGGGACATTGACGCTATTAAATTTTGGTGGTTAATGGTCGAGGGAGTGGGGAGATAAAGAAGCAACTCATCGCTAGATTTCTGTAACATTAAATATAAAAAATTTACTTTGGTTTGATGAGAAGAGGCATTGCAATATAACTAATTGTAATACACGTATAATAGGATTCACCTATTATGCGATAAACTTAATTTTAATTAAAGCATATAATTAATTATTTAATTCACAGTTTAAAAATTATTACACGAGAAAATCTTTTCATATATTTACCAAAACACTTATCTATTCGAATCATGTATATATAATAAATAAATAAATAAATAACATAAATAAATAATAAATAAATAATAAATATATATATATAATATATACAGTATGTTAATCCGAGGTTCCAATTGGCTTACGTTATATTCTTTTTTTTCCTTAATTATCTATCATTCTATATATTGACGTAAATATATATTAAGTATATANGCTATTTGGACGTAATTGTTTTTGCTTCATCTTTGTTCCCAATTGCAATGTAAGTATATACATTGCTTGAAAATCCCTCGATTTTATTCAACAAAAATGTAAGTATTTTTGTTCTATATATAAAAAAATATATACTAAACTTGTAACTACTCTGTTTATTACAGAGGTTTATCATTAGGGGTAATTATTAATCTGGCAACTTTTTTCCTTCTATTATTATTTGAAAAACAACGCTACACTAAACACACTCACACTTTATTTTAAAATAGAACGCTGAATACAGTGTGTAATTTTTTCCGCTGCACTGTTTATTAAAGCGTACTTACTTGTTAGTATTAGAGAGTTCTGTCTATAACATTTTTATCTAACTCTCTTGACGTCAGAGGATTCGGCCTAAAATATTTTTACCCGAGGCCCTTAATATCAGCGGATTCGGTCTATAGATTTTTATCTGAGGCTCTTAATATCAGCGGATTCGGTCTATAATATTTTAATCTGAGACCCTTAATATCAGAAGATTCGGTCTATAATATTTTAATCTGAGGCCCTGAATATCAGAGGATTCGGTCTATAATATTTTAATCTGAGGCCCTTAATATCAGCGGATTCGGTCTATAGATTTTTATCTGAGGCTCTTAATATCAGCGGATTCGGTCTATAATATTTTAATCTGAGACCCTTAATATCAGAAGATTCGGTCTATAATATTTTAATCTGAGGCCCTGAATATCAGAGGATTCGGTCTATAATATTTTAATCTGAGGCCCTTAATATCAGCGGATTCGGTCTATAGATTTTTATCTGAGGCTCTTAATATCAGCGGATTCGGTCTATAATATTTTAATCTGAGACCCTTAATATCAGAAGATTCGGTCTATAATATTTTAATCTGAGGCCCTGAATATCAGAGGATTCGGTCTATAATATTTTAATCTGAGGCCCTTAATATCAGCGGATTCGGTCTATAGATTTTTATCTGAGGCTCTTAATATCAGCGGATTCGGTCTATAATATTTTAATCTGAGACCCTTAATATCAGAAGATTCGGTCTATAATATTTTAATCTGAGGCCCTGAATATCAGAGGATTCGGTCTATAATATTTTAATCTGAGGCCCTTAATATCAGCGGATTCGGTCTATAGATTTTTATCTGAGGCTCTTAATATCAGCGGATTCGGTCTATAATATTTTAATCTGAGACCCTTAATATCAGAAGATTCGGTCTATAATATTTTAATCTGAGGCCCTGAATATCAGAGGATTCGGTCTATAATATTTTAATCTGAGGCCCTTAATATCAGCGGATTCGGTCTATAGATTTTTATCTGAGGCTCTTAATATCAGCGGATTCGGCCTATAATATTTTAATCTGAGACCCTTAATATCAGAAGATTCGGTCTATAATATTTTAATCTGAGGCCCCTAGTATTATTGGGTTTTCATAATTGTTTTTATTAGAGCGCACTTAGTATTAGACTTATCTGTGCTCACTTAGTATTAAAAGGTTCTTTCTGCGTTTAATTTTATACTTTTCAAATTTTAATTTAACTGCACAGACTAAAATATTAATAATTGTAATACCCGTATAACAGGGTCCACCAATTACGCAATATAGTTTATATCAGTGTTTCTCAATCTCTAACGAATCGTCGCCCACTTCAACGTAGTATCGCCCCCTTCAATAAAACCGTTACCTATTATCGCCCCTTCACTTCAAAATTCCGATGCCGAGGACCAAGACTAACGCCAAATTCGTACCGCATTCAATAGACTTGTAACTAGTATAATGTTATTTGTTCAATTATTGTACGATATAACGAATAAAATATCTAATTATTCTTAATATAATGCTTTTCTATATCGCTCAGAAAATTGTTTTTCGCCCCCCAAAATACAAATTGTTACTAATCGCCCCCTTAACATGGAAAAACGCCCACATGGGGGCGATATCGCCCCCGTTGAGAAACACTGGTTTATATAATCTACTAGTCGAGGCAAATATTTTATTGCGCTTTGCTAATAAATATACTCATTGAATAATAAACAATAATATGAGTTTTCCAATATATATATTTTATCAAGTTGGACATTAATTATTAATAGGACAATTATACTGGTTCTTTATTGAGCTACCTGTACACATACATCTGTTTATATCTGTGTTTGGGGCTATTATGCCCCTCATCAGCAGGATTACAATTATGCCTTAATTTCTATTTTTAATTATCTATCTGTTATTTTATAGTTCAACATTATCATAATTGTAATCCTGCTGATGAGGGGCATAATAGCCCGAAACTCAGATATAAACAGATGTATGTGTACAGGTAGCTCAATAAAGAACCAGTATAATAGTTCTATTAATAATTAATGCCCAAGTTGACAAAAAATATATATTAAGAAATTAAAGGACAGTAAGACTATAATAATCAATAATATACGTTATTCATGTTAATCTAAGAATCCGATTGGCTTGCATTACTTTCCTTATTTTCCTCAATTATCTATCATTCTGTATATCAACGAAAATGTGTATATTCAGAATACAGATTGTTTGAAAATTCCTATTTTATTCAGCAAAATTGTAAGTAATTTTTTCTATATACGGTATGTAAAAATATATCAACAGCACACACACTGTCTATAATTTTTCAGCTGCCACTGCTCTATTTCTTAGTGGGATTATTATTATGGGTGACTATTAATAAAACAATCTTTTTCACTTTATTATTACGTGAATAACAACGCAACACTGAACACACACACACATACTTTATTTTAAAAAAAGATAAAAGTAGTAAACTGAATACAATGTGCAATTCTTCATTTCGGGATAGGCTTTAGCTTCCTCCAATAGACAGCATCTTTACTATTATAAGGTACTGTTAATAACTTTTTTTTATCTTTCAGGGCGCTTACTATTACAGTTCTTTCTATTATTTTTTTTAAATGGAGACAGTTCTGTCTATAAATTTTTTTAGTGTTTGTTAGGAGTAAGAACATTCTGATTCGTGTCAAAAAGAAAAAAAACACTACTGAACAAAATCGACACGCAAACTTCACGCTCCCTTATAAGATATAAGCTGTAAGATGTGGGGTTGTGTTAGAGGCGACAATATATAACAATTTAGCTCAGCTAAATTGTTATATATTGTCGCCTCTAACACAACCCCACATCTTACATCTCACATGATATCCATAACACTTATCTTTCAGTTTCCCATGTAGGAATGCTATTTGGACGTAATTGTTTTTGCTTCATCTTTGTTCCCAATTGCAATGCTACATAAATTAGTAGTTGCCATGTTTCTTTTCGCATTAGTGTCGTCTTTACTACCTCGTATGTTCTGCAGTCATTATACTCGTTCTCTCATATCCTCGGTGTGTCTTACTCTTAATACATCGTTTGTTTTTCATGTTCTTCGTCCTGGACGTGTCGGTTTTGCATCGAAAACAATTCCATTTCTCGCTCGCCATATCTTAGATGGAGTAAACCCTCGCAAGTATGTTTTTGATATTTGTCTTCACTACTTTCCTTCGCGTCCTCTATGACTTGTAGATTTCTCTCGTGACTCTTCTGTCATCGTTTCATTTTCTAAGAGAGTCTAAGGCCTATTTCCCATTGAAATGCAGCTTCCTCATTTTTTTCCTTAATGAGCTTTGAGAGCATCATCAGCTGAAGTCATTCATTAAAGATAAGCATACGTGGCACTCTAGACTGAGTGGGGAAATTGGTCCAATAAGATCCGCACGTCATAATACTACTCGACGAGTCCTTGTTACCTGATACATAAGGTAACTTTGACAGTTTTCTTTCAATGCATATATCGCCATTCCAATCTTTTCAACTTCTATTCCTTCTACGAGTCGTTAGTCCTTCATTTTCTTCAATTTGTCTGTCAAGTCTTTTATGCCACAAGGCAGTCGCGTTCACTACACTTTCTGTTCTTTAGCTTCCTCTTACGACGAAGCGATCGTCAATTTTCTTTGTTTGGAAAAGAATATTTCCTTCATTGTCCATCACAACATTTTTTTCATTTACTCATTCTCACCTTGTTCTGTTAGTCTTGCAATTTGGTCACATTAATGAGGTTTGTGTCTAGGTTCGGCATATAAAGTATCTTAATTGGTATCGCTTCAATATAATCATCGTAATCTTCGTCGATGTCTTCATACATCACAGCTGCTCTTTCAACTTTTATTTTTCTCCCATCTTTCATCGAGATTACCCTTACTAGTGTGCGATGTAGTTGCTCCTTATTGTCACCTCGTTCGGGATAATTCGACAAAATAGATCCGAATCTTGGCATTTAAAACATTTTATTCTCGAGCAACATTGCCACATTGTAACAATGTTTCCTTTGTTTAGCTTTTTTTCTTCAGCCCACTACTTTATAAGGTAAATGAAGGGACTACCCCTTCTGGCAGTTTCTTCATTTCTCTTAAATTGACATTTGTTTTTCTTCCCTTCATCTTTTAACGCTGCTTAATTGGCATCTTCTCAGTCTCGGCATATTGTTAATTTATTGTCTCTATCTTCGTCATTTACTTCCATGACATTCCTCCGTAATTTTCTACCATAAAGCTCACGATTAGACCCACAAAAAGTATTATTTCTTTATTAAACCACTTAATTCTCCACAAAAGTATCCCTTTCTCGTCACAGGCCACCATCTTAGTTTAACTCACTGTTAATATTCGTCGTTTTTATCGTAAAATTCGGATATATTCGTTGTATTCTTAGTTTAAAGTCGTTTCTTATTTACAAAATGTTATACTTTTTCTTACCGGATCGCCGATTTATTTGTAAATTCCTTCTGGGCCGTGTTAACTTCGTCCAATTGGAAAGTCGCATTTCCTTTTATTACCTTGTCTTTTGTTTCCAGGCATCGCAGAATAATCATTCTCTGATGCCATTTTGTTAGAAGAAAAAGCATTCACAGTCAAAAAGGGGAGGAAAAAAACACCGCATTTCACTCGAGCTGTACACACACTGAACAAGATCGACACTCCAACTTCATGCATCCGTAAAAAACACGGGAAATAAAGGTACTGTAGGAAAAATTTCTTCTCTGACAGGGGGCGATCATGTACACAACTTTACCGTTATACATACCGGTACATTATCACACGTAGGTATATTAGAGGATTATATCTATGACTTTTTATTTGTGTATGCTTAGTATTAGAGGGTTGTGTCTATAATTTACAGCTGTACTGTTTATTAAAGTGTGCTTATGAAGTGTACTGTATATTGAATGATTAGAAAAACTAATTTAGAAAGTTTCTCGTTTTTGGAGATTGAATTAGAATTGCTAGTTTGTTTCTAAGTAGAAAGTTACAATAAATTTTATTCCTACATCCTCTGGAAGGGATATAACGTTCCAAGTCACTTCCTATAAGTACCCCACATATAAAGGATAATCATTTGAAGGATAAGAAATTATATGAATCTCTAGAAATGAATGTCTCGTTTGAAATATAATTAAGGTTTTTGTTCATGTCCTTCGAAAAAATAGATTTATATTCTCTTTGTTTCTCTTGAAGTAGCATGGAATAGAAGAGAACAATGCGCAAATTTTATTGTTTTTATTGTCTTATTATTGAACATTTCCTGGAAAATACGGGGAATTTTCTATATTTGTTCACGTCAGCATTGTCACTTTCATTGTTTAAAAATTCTTAAATAGAATTTAAAGATTTTGTTAACAAATAATAAGATATTTAAAATCAATTTTTTTTAATTTTAAAATAACAAATTGAAGTTTTTGAATTGTCTCATTAAATTACTTAATTTGCCATTATATTTTCTAAAATTACATTTAATTAAAATATTAATTAATTTATTTTCTTATATGTAATTACTACAGGGTGAGTGAAAAGTAACTAAGCATCGAGAAATTATTCTAATTCTATACTTCTAACTCAAAGAACAATAAAAAATCATTTGATGTGTACAGTACATTAATATGAAAGCGTATCTTAAGATTTCATTAATCCATGTACATATATACATAAAATTTTGTTATGATTTCTTTATCAGTAGAAAAATTATAGAGTTTAAAATATCTAGTTATTTTCCACCCAGTCTGTATATATGGATATACAAACTGGAGAAAAGTAACTAGATGTTTTACAAATTGTTACATTGTTACTTATTAAATAATGTAAACAATTCCTTTTTTGGCTTATTTTTCTATTTATTTGTTAATAATACTCTAGAAATAACACTTATGGAGTGTTTTTACGAAGAAAAACGTAATTTTTGAAAAGTACACAACGTTCAGGCAGATAGAACGTACAGTCGACCCCCCTATAACACTGTTGATTATTTGTATTTGTAAAACAAATACGTGTGCCGGGCTAAGTGACTCGTACAACACGAAATTCATATAAAACGGAATAATTAACAGTGTTATAGGGGGGTTGACTTGTATAGCATTTAATATACATTACCACAGTATATAAAATAATTATATTGTAATTAATAATAAAATAATCTTCATTGAAATGAATTTAAATTAAAAATATATTTCGTTTTCTGTTTCAGGACTTTGGGAGCCCCCGTAATAATGATTTACAATATTATTGAATATGTGTGGAAAAAATATTTTATATTCTTCGGTGAAGATGATTATTATTCCTGTGTTTGGGGTTAATATTTTTCTTCTATAATTTATTTTAATAGATACAGTTAACCCCTCGTTATATCGCGCTTGTTGGGTAACAAATCAAATTAAGCGATATACAGTAGACCCCCTATAACACTATTGATAATTCCGTGTTATATGAATTCCATGTTGTACGAGTCATTTAGATTTTTACAAATACGTGAGCCGTTCACAGCCCGGCACACATATTTGTAAAATCTAAGTGACTCGTACAACATGGAATTCATATAACACGGAATTGTCAACAGTGTTATAGGGGGGTCTACTTTATAACCGACGTATGGAACGATATAACAAGAGGCTACTGTATTTTATATTTTTATATAGAGGTATAACTAACTATAATGTTCCCTAAACCAATTATAATTTGTCTTATTTATATTAAAAATACATATTTTTAATTCATATACAACAGGAAATTTTTAAATAATCCGGCTACGAGTTGCGTGACTTTCCGGGCAAAATAATTTAATATCGCGTGTGGTTTTTTTTCTGTTATAATGTTTTATTTAAAAAAAAAACTTTCTGCAGTCAATTACTTCAAAAATTAATGATATATTCCTTTCTTTATTCGTAGTATTTATTACTTTTATCATTGGCTCACTGAATACTGTTGTTAGTTATCCCCTTAACTTAATTATGTAATTTTATAAAATCCGATTTATTTGTGATATTTTGTGCTTTTATTCAGGTATTTTTATTTGGGTAACATTTTTATATCTTTCTATTGGATTAATGTTTGCTTATGTGGATGTAACAGGAAAACCCCAAGCTTTAGTTCGTCGTAGAATACAAAATACAGATGCATTTCCGGTAAGTTTAATATAATTACAACATATTATAAGTCTGTCCAGATATTTTTTATTTTACTTTATAAAATTTAAAGCTTTATATGTTTATTCATATACAATATTAAGTGTGCAATATAAAGTGTAATATCTGATCACTCACCACTTTGGCTCTACAAGCAACAAACATTTTATTTATACAAGACACTCGGAGACCTTAGCGGTGCAGGGGGTGCTGCCCAATGTAATCCACATGCTGAAGGTTTAAAATCTGAAGGCATTAAACAGTGTGTTCAACGGTCATTGATACTCCGTGAGGCTTCTCACGTGTAGTGTGATGCTATCTTGACAGTCTAACAGACTTTTATATTATAAAATTTTACAGAATCGTTTACTTTATTTTTAAATTAATGATTAAAGTTATAACAACGAGAAGAAGAGGGGAGAGGAAGAAAAAAGAGCAGGAACAGAGAGAGGAGGAGAGGGAGAAAGAGGAGGGACAAAGAGAGGAGGAGAGGTAGGAAGGAAAGGAACAGAGAGAGGAGAGGGGGAGAAAGAGGGGGGACACAAAGAGGAGGAGAGGGAAAAGAGGAGGAGGGACAGAGAGAGAAAGTGGACAGAGTGAGAGAGAGATGAGGAGAAAATGTATAACAAAAAATTAAGTAAATAAATAAAAAACTTTGAAAATATATGTGATTTACATTTTACAATATTTATTTCAGGTCAAAATGTCAACAATTTACCAGACGGTAAAACAGGTGTTAGTTAATCATTTTCTTATCACGTTACCATTCATTCATTTTGGTTACAAATTGTTGAAGTGGAGAGGTTTGAAAAGTGTGTTAACAATACCAAGTGTTCGATGGATAATTTCAGATTTTGTATTTTATTACGTGTTATATGAATTTGCATTTTATTATATCCACAGGTATTGTTATTTTATTATTATAATTATTATTATTTTGTATTAAGAAAATATCCCTATAATTTGAATTCCTATTTAACATTTATAAAAATTCTTTATGATACTTTTTATGTATTGACTGCTTATTTTAATTATTCTTAATCTTTATTCTATTCTAATAATCTTTCTTCATTCTTACAGCTATACACACACATACATACACACATATGTGAGGTGTTCCAAGCGCAAAAGAGATCCTTCCAACATTGCACGAGTGTGTATTTTACTCGTGCAATCATAAAAGTATAATCATTTCACAGTAGTGTTCGTGATTTCATTATAAGACATTATACTCACATGCTTTATCAATAAAGACTGCACGATGTTGACCTTCGTTTAAAGTCATCGCGTGTCTCATCATTACACCTTGTCATACTCATTACATCTTTGGGAGAAAGTAATTGTGTCTATTGATAAATTATATACAGTGTAACTTCTTTTATTACTAACCCACTTATAATAATTCATCACCGAGGCCTACTGTAATGTAATTTTTGCATAAAATTTAGCGTATTGTCAAATATTCCTTTCTGCCCTATTTTTTCTCTTGGCTCCTATAACTTACTTGGCTCTATTATCTCATGAAATTGTTTATTATTTTTTTCAGTTGAGTAAGTAGTTTATATAATACATACTTCATTTTGTAGGTTGTTACATCACCCTAAACTGTATAAACACATTCACAAACAACATCACGAATGGACTGCCCCCATCGCTATAGCGGCAATTTATTGTCACCCCATCGAGCATTTTGTTGCCAATCTCATTCCATTGTATATTGGCCCACTTATTAAGAACAGTACACCATTTACTCTCTTCTTATGGTATACTGTATCTGTTTTTATAACACTTATCGAGCATTCTAATTACCATCTTCCAATTATAAAAGTAAGCGAAACCCATAATTTTCATCACATGAGGTAAGTGGAACGAAATTAATTTGTAAAAGAACCCATCTTGTATCTCATACCTGATTATTTATTTTCACAGATTCAATCAGAATTATGGAAAAGCGGGCGTTTTAGATCGTTGGCATGGAACTAATTCTCCTATTAAAAAAAGCAAGAGATTCTTTGAAAATTTAGTGATCCAATCACTTTCACTTCTGAAGAATCATTCGAATGTGGCGAAAAAGGAAGAGTGAATTTGCATAATTTAATTGAATGAAAAAGCTTCGAGAAGATACACAACTGAATCTAAATGCTCTATTACACAAATTCTTGATATTGGTTAAGGAAATTTATTGTATTTTTTTAATACACTTAGTGAAGATATCCGGTATTACTTGAGGAAATTTCATATTGCATCCTTGACATTGTAAAAAGTCAATTTGGGCACTTAATACTATTCAAAGATATTGAGGTATACATGTTTTAAATCAGACCCCATTCTACATACGTCACATGAACCCTTTCTATCTCCCCACTCCCTGGATCTTTAAGCACCAAAATTTAATATCATCAATTTCCCCAATACGCAAACTCTCCTGCAAAATTTCAGATATTTTTCACAAAAGGCACAGAAGTTATTAAGCTTCAAATTGGGTAAACAAAATCGTGCCACCCACACACACACACATTCGTATCCATAGCATTTCTCGATGTATCAAGGTCCCGAGTCCAAAAATGTAAAACATCTAGGGGTCATTCTTTGACCTATCGACCCTCTTTTGTCAATAACAGTCGAAAACTTCGTCATAAATTAATTTAAATACTTATACTAAATACCTAACAACACCTGCAGATGTTATGCACAATAATCTTTCCATAAATCCATTTAAAACTCTCCAAAGAATGTTTGTATGTCTGTTCTATCTTCGCTAGTTAATCGATATAAATATCCAGGAAAAAATTGAAATATCTTGTCATTTTGAAGGATTTTTCTCAATGATACGAACTAAATAATGTTTCAGTTATACTTTATTTGTTTAATATACAAATATTTTAAATATGTTTCACGTGTTACTTACATTTGTTAATTACCATTAACTCAATTGCTCAATGTCAAATTTCCCTGATACTTCCATACATTAATTCACCCATTTAAGGATGGATTAATCTATGGAGGAATCAGAGAAATAATAATAAATGAAAACATATATTTAAAGATATATCTTTTCGTTATTATTCATTTTCTACACTGCTTGACAATTGTAAGAGAATATCGACATTTTTTTTGTCATAATTAGTAGTGGACACAAGGTCAAGGAAAAACACAAGGTAAAGAAGCACACCTAGGAACAACTACAAGGAAAAACACAAGGAAAAACTACATGCCACACATTGTTAAACAGTGTATTTAGTTATTATTTACTATGAGCTCAAACATAATATAAATTATATCAAGATTATACCAAATTATTTTTATGGTATTGCCTATAATTATATGGTTCTTTAAATAAAGCAATAAATTTTATATTCAAATTTGCAATTTATTTAACTGTTTTATATTAAGAATTCATTAATTTTTCAACGTCATTCCTCGACATATTAAGGGTTGTTCATCATTCATTTCACCTTCACGCACAGTAAATTACAAGAACTGATTAAAATTCGAACTCGAATCCCTAACAACTAGGATCATCCTCATGGTGAGACCTTATAATTATACATATAAGCTACTGTAAAGCCTATATTTAATAAGTTTTACCTTCACCATTTTAAAAACACTGAACACAGGTAATAGGTGGACACTTTAAATCGTCTGTGTTAAAAATTATAATTGAGTAAACTCTTTACTTTTTATTTTCTAATTTATAATTTATTATAAAATAATTTTATATAACGAAATTAGGAAAGGAAAGACGAAACAGTTACATATTTTTTTTGAATAATTGCTTGATAACACACCGATTCGAAGTAATTCTTTTGAATTTAATTACATATTTTTGTATTTAATTTGATTGAGATTTCTTAACATTTGTATAATTTCTTTATACGATAAACATCGCTAACAGACAAACCAGTTTTTTCATGAACTTCTCGTAGTTTCTTTCCTGATTTGGCTGTCATGGTCTTCGATATACCATCCTTCGAGAATGCTGTATCACCATACAACATGACTGAATTCACATCAAAAGAATTTAATAATTTCGTTTGAGTAGGGTGAAGTTTTTGAAATTGTGTCGCCATTCCTAAAAATAAAAGTCATATTATTATTTACTGCTTAATTAACGCGTGACACTAGAACTTTGGCTATTACAGTTATACTCATTATGAGTGGGCATAATCCTCAGTGAAGTCCAATTGAATTGGTGGAGTAAGATAATGTAACAATTGGGCAATCTGCGAAGGATTGAAAAACGTTAAACTTTAACGTTTCTGGGGCGCGAACCCGTGACTATTACCAGTATTCGGAGATTTTAAGTTAAGGCAACGCAACATGTGGGCGATCTACCTAGGGGAGATGCCTTCCGGGAGGTCTTTTTAAAGGTAATTGGCCCTTATTACAGACGTGGAGAAAACCCGGAAAATTCCAACGTGGCCAACCCGCGCGAACCCACGACCGAACTCCCAGTGTTCAGGGAACGAAACCGCTTGGACATTGGCCATATTAGCAACTAACCATTCTGTATATTGTTCCAAAAAATTGTTAGGTGATTATCTCTGTCGGGTCGAGTGTGCTCGTGGAAGAAACCAAGAGCGTGATTAATTTCGTGGACAATGATTCCTAAATGATCACAATTCTCTCCAATTGATACCAACTGACCACCTCCAACACGTCCAACGTAGGAATTGCATCTAAAATAAATAAATAAGTTCAAAAACAAAATAGCCATTGTTAAGTTATTCGAAAATACCTTACCCGACTCCCTTATGGAATTTTATATAGTTCTGTTCATAAGTTCTTTGAGTGAATTTAATACAACCACCGGTCTTTTGAACAATGTCATACATTGCCAATCGAATTTTGCCTGCCACAGAAGCTATTTAACAAAAAATAATACTTTCATTATTTCTAAATAAAGTATTTTTAAACTGTTTAAAATCAAAATCTAAGAGAAACAACCTAAAGATCTGTCAATGAGATAGGGTACTCTTCCACCAGGCCATGTTGATTGGTGAGTTGATATTGCAGTTCTTCCCTACACGGATAATTGAATTAAACATTTTATTAACTTATATTCAAGTATCCAAACCAGAATAAATGTTACTTACTGTATCAACTTCTTCTTCCTTCAGAATATCACCCTCGAATAGATGAGGATTGTATAGAGGAGAAACTGGCAAAGTGACTAAAAATAAAGAGAATTTAATTTTCTATAAAAATATTCGATTAAAAAAGGAAATTAAAATCACCATTTTCTGCTACAGCAACTGCAAACAGAGCCGCAATGTAGAACATCATTGTATTTAACACTAGAAAGGGTGCTGCTTCTGTGGTTGAAGGAAGAACGAATATTGTAAAGCTACCAACGCATTGTTTATATAAAGATGAATTTAGTGCCACGTGGACGTGCCCTCTTTTAAGTAATCAATCATATTTTAGAATAATAGCATTGCTGACATTGTTTCGATCGATACGGTTCACTTTTTTTTAGAAGCTTATTGTTTATGGAGTAAGCTCAGCAGTAGAAATTGTCCTTTATTTGATTTGACAGCCGGATGAACTCGAAATAGGGTATAATTTTTCTAGAATCTGGAATCAAATCCTGCTTAACGTTTACTACTTTTAGTAGGGCTGAAGTTTCGATAGCAATAGGAGGCATATTCAAAGACTAGCAGATAATTTACTTGTGGTATGGCTTCTAATGAGCTACCTGAGTCTCACTTAACCCTTAGATAATGAAACTTCTACTCCTCTGTTCCTGGTAGTTTTTATTTTTTATGTTATGTATGGTTTTGGCTAACACCACTAAACACTGGGTTTACACTTGACCAACCATTTTATTGATTTATTTGGTTACTGCAATGGGACACGTGGGCGATCTACCAAGGGAAGTACCTCCCAGGAAGACTTCTACGGAAAACTGGCACCTATTTATGTGTTAAACATGAAGAAAATCCGGTGGCCAGCCCGTTAGAGAGGCGCGAACCCACGACCACTACCAGTGCCAACCGGCTTGTCATGTGTCTTCCAGGTTTTCTACACGTGTCTAATGGATTTTTTTTGTTTTAAATATTAAATATAGATGTAATTTATAAAATAATTTTTAACCTAATTATAGTAATAAATAAATAATTAAATTCATATTCTCTCTTATTTACAATTTTAAATCATTGTAATGAAGTCTATTTATTAATCGTTAACATTCAAATTATATAGAACGAAATTAATTGTATCTTTGCCATTGAATCTATTTAATTATTGATGACACTTTTCGATAATGGATCAGGTCATCCACTTCCAACGAATTCGCTTTCAAATGGGTCAATATATTATTAAATTATTTAAGTTATAGTTCAATTAAAAATCGAAAAATCTGATTAAAATATTTCATTTAATAGAAACCAATGGCAGAGTGAAAAAAAGCCAATGAACACTGATAATTGGTCGCGGGTTCGGTCCTGAACAACCAGGCTTACTACGTGGATTTTTTCGAACTTTCTTTACGTGCCAATTTCCCATAGAAAGGGTATTTCTCCCTATTTAAATGTTGCAAATTTGAAGAAAACCCGTAAAATTCCACGTGGCCAGCCCGTCGGAGAGGCACGAACCCACGACTTATTATTAGTGTATTCAATGGTTTCATACTGGTCGGGTAGATTAACGTAATGGAAGCATTTTGCAATTAATTTTCCATATAATTTAATAACACTTAAATGCAAATTACATGCCAGAAAAAAACGAGTACAGTAGACCCCCCAATAACACTGTAGATAAATTCCGTGTTATATAAATTCCACGTTGTACAAGTCACTTAGATTTTACATATACATGTGCCGGGCTGTGAACGGCTCACGTGTTATAGGGGTGGGAGGGTCTACTGTATTGTTTACTAATATATTTATATGAAATACGGGTTCGAATCTAGGTGAGAAATCCTAGGAATTTACTATATGCTGATTGCTCCGGTGATAGATTTTACCTGTACACCTGTCCCTGTCAATTAATGAATTAGTATTCAACACGTAAAACGTTCTAATTTTAAATATCCCTTTCCGATTTTAAGTAAAAAATATTGATCTAAAAATCTCAAATAATAACATTTACGGTTATATTATTTATGCATACAATTATTAATTTGGATTAATTTAACACGATTAATTTTATTTCAAGAGTGACGAAAGAATTGAAACTTGTTAAAAACATTAATAAAATTTAAATATAATTATGCAATTAGTATATAAATTATAATTTATTCGGTAGGTAAATCCCCCCATTTGCACTCGAACCTCCGATAACGGCCGTACAAAATAACCTTCAAACAATGGCCATTTTTTTTAAACGTTCCCGTCAGTGACCGTTTATCAGAAGTGAAATTCATATCCTTAAAACAATTTTACTTTCAATTATTAAAGGGTAATAAGTGAATGTTTCTTATAACAATACTCTTAAGTATAATTATATTTAAATATATTAATTAATTAAACATTTTCTTGTGTTAAATGAGTCATACTAATGTATTGTTAATAGGTTTAAAACGTCATTTAATTCTTAAATATAGAAAATGAAGGCTGCTACAATTGTTTTCTTTCTCTTGTTCTTAAAAGGTACGTTTATAAATTACACCCTAACTTAGATATATTTTGAATTATAACACACATAATTTGTATTTTATAGGAGTAATGTCTTATAATATTAGAGAAAAAAGACAATATGTAAGATTTTAAATCAAATATTCTTTGTTTTAAATCTATTTATTTATAAATTAGAAAGTCTAAGGCTTTAATAGTAGGATGAAATCAGGGGAGGAATGTGGTGTTGAGGTTTTATTGTAGCATTTATTTTCCGCTATAAAACTATGAGTAACTATGAACTTGTTGCAGAATGGCCCTTGATCTTAAATGCACCAAATTTCTCTCATAGTTATTCTCAATATTATTCTCTTATGAGAATATATTATTAGTTATTCTCTAAGGAAAATATGGGCTACCCCATTTCTATCCTGATTTCATCCCCTTGACACATAATAATGGTGGACTAAAATAATCAAACTTTTTAAAATTTTGTAAATATTTTCAGGTGAATGTCCCTGCACTACCTGGTCCAAATCCTCCGAAAAGTTCGAGCAATTCAGCAAATAGTTCACCTTACTCAGATTTCATTTACAAATTAATAATTATATATTATAATGTAGAAACTCGAGATTTGGATTAATATAATTAAAAAATACATTATTAAATTCTAGAATTTGTAATTAAATTTTAATAAGAATGTAGAAAGTAAATCATTTTCTTGTATGTAGTAGTAATAATAATAAATTACGTTTAAATATATAAGGACTAGAAAATACTAAACAGGTTGCTTGGTCAAACATACAGGACTTTCTATGTAAAAAACATATTAAAAAAGTGATATAAATTAAAATTATTTGAAAAACTGATGAAATTTTTGTTTTTATTCATTTTATTAATGGGTTAAGGCAAGCAACATGCCAAGGGGGTGCCTCCCAGAATGACAGTCTGTGAGAAACTGGACCCTATTTAGGTGTTATTAATGCGAAGAAAACTTGGAAAATTGCACCGTCGTGAGGTGAGAACCCGCCGGTGTTTCCGTCCTTTGAGAGTTCACTACATCGAGAGTCTCTGCTGTGTGATAAACACAGAAATAATTTTGTGATGTGTCGCCATCTGTCGATTAATAAATTTATATCTATATAAATATACATAATATATAAGTGTATTATGTAGTCCCCCAGTAGTCTATTTGCGTAGGATCTCTACGACCTCCTACGCAAAATCAATTTTAGGGGTACTAAATTATGACTTATGGATTTAAATATACTTTGAACGCCTGAAAAGATATACACCATTAAAAAATACACATAATACAATAGTATCTATGTCTGTAATTATCAAATTGTGGACCTAATACGTTCCCACTGTCGTTCATACACAGGTAAATTTATACACAGGTACGTATAAAAATATATAACAACTTTAAAATCATCAAACACACAATATTTTTAAATTTATTTATTTATTTAACAGCTTTATGTGTTACACAATTAACAGCCCATCTGTTAAACTGTCCCATTGTCTGTTCGGAGCATCATTTAACCTTCACCATCGAAGATGTATGCTGCTGTGTTCCTTCTACTCGCTCTATTTTCCCAATGTAAGTAATTATTATATTAACAATCGTAAGTTACGTCACGCAACACTATAATACAGTTTCTACAAGTATATTATAATATATATATACTTTATTTTTATAGTAATGCCTTTGTATAGATGCGAAGAAGATAGAGACTATGTAAGATAATCATTAGGTGTTATTAGATTTTAGTAAAGTTATAATTAATTTATAATTATTTTCAGGTGTCTGTATCTTCTCTGCCTGGTCCAAATCCTCCCCAAATACCGTGTGAATACGAACTTAACTATGCAGATTACTTATATTGTAATGCAAGAAACATTTATAATAAGATAAAGGCTCGAATATTTGAGTAATGCATTCGTAATTAAATATTTCAGAAAGAATAATTGAATTTATTCACTTATCTTCTGTAAAATTTAAAAATAATAATAATAATAATAATAATAAATGTATTGTTTATTAAATACGATCGAAGTTTTTGTTATTTTTTCTGTAATTCTTTTATTTAAAAAAACAATTATTAATTATAGTCGTAATAGCAATTCTCAACCAGTAGTACACGTACCACTGGGGGTACGCAAGAAGGCACAGAGTGAAGAAAGATTGAAAATCGTTGGATTATATTGTTTATTTAAAACACAGATCAGATTATAAAACAGTAGAGAAATAAAAAATGTATAGAATAATTAAAATTAAATATTAATTATTTAGGGCTGGTTTTGATTGCTCTGCAGAGGGGGAATAGCCTTCCGGGGGGCATTTTATGGAAACTGGTCCCTATTTAGGTGTTAATAACGTGAAGACACACCAGAGATCGAGTGGATAAAATCACTTAACACTCGTAATTGGTCGTGGATTCGCACCTGGCCATTTTGGTGGGCTTTTCTTCACATTTGTATCACCTAAATGGGGGGTAGTTTCTTATAGAAAGTCTGGCCCCCCTCGGCAGATCGCTCACTTGTCGCTTTGCCGTCTGCAACTAAGCCCTACTAACGTAAAATAAGCCATACTAACGTAAAGAAAACCCCATAAAGTTCACGTGACCAACTTGTTGGCGAGGCTCGAACCCACGACTAACTACCAGTATTCAATGGTTTTGTCCATATGGCCGCTGGTGAGTGGCAATCATTTAACTTTACTTCTATTTAGAATGGATTTAACAGATAGATTAGACTATCTTTTCCCTATTTAAATTGGCTCTAAAAATTCCCTAACTAAAGAATACTTAGAGAAATAAAGGTGATTTTTCATCTATTGTTTAAAATAAATATAAAATTGTATAATTTACACAGAAATATTCGAAGTTTTCATAGAAAAATCCCACTGTAAATCTGATGTACAGGTTTATTGATACCATTATAATTACCTCTACTCAATTTCCTTATTAAAAATTATTAATTATGTACAATATATTTATGTAAATCTTTTATTTCTTTATATTGTTAAAATATAAAAACACTTCTATACTATATTACCCAACAGCATATATTTTTCTACATGTTTTAATTAAAATTACATAGTACAGTACATGATCATCATCTTCATCACCAATGCCGGGATTATTTTCTTTGATCATCTTTGCAGCTTTCTGTACGCAAGGTAAATTTAAATAATTTTAAATATTCTATAATTTATTGCAGCTTAAATTTAGTTAATTTGACGTGTACACTGTACAGCTTCCTCCTAAAAAACCGCCATTAATTGAGCCATGGAATTCTCATAGATTGGGTGTCATAAATTATAGTTATACTCATAAAAATTAACTTAGAAAATCATAAGGGATGATTTAATAATTTTAATGCTTAAATATAACATTTCGTTACGTCATAATAGAATAATTATACTAGTAAAAGCGAGTGATTTTAAAGGAAATGGTCGTAAACCGGGGTTTATTCGATTTCGTTTGATTGGTTGATATTTCGTTGTTTTTATTAATGTATAAGGTTTATTTATGTAAGCTCTATATTTTATTACTGTAATAATTTACATTTTTAGAAATTCAAGAAGCTTATATTCCTCGTAATGTTAAGAATTCAAGACTTGCAGAATCTATGCATTTACATTCTGAAATGAATATAATGGATACACGGCCAATAAAAATTCCTTTCGTAAATCCTAATATTAGCGTAGAAATCTTTTCTACGAATCCACTTACTGGAAATTCTTCTAGTACAAGCAAAAACATAGACGAAGGGCCTTCTAATATAACAACAAAAAGAGATGAAGAACCTTCTAGTACAGCAACAGAAACAGGTGAAGAGTCTTCTAGTATAACAGCAAAAACAGGTGAAGAGCCTTCTGATACAACACAAACAGGTGACGAGCCTTCTGATACAACAGAAACAGGTGAAGAGTCTTCTAGTACAGTAACAGAAACAGGTGAAGAGCCTTCTGGTACAACAACAGAAACAGGTGAAGAGTCTTCTAGTACAATAACAGAAACAGATGAAGAGCCTTCTGGTACAACAACAGAAATACTTTCTTCAACTATACTCGAAAATCCTTCTACTCCAAGCACAGAAATATCTTCGAACTTTCCTTCTGAAAACCCTTCTACTGCGAGTACAGAGACAATTTCTTTAAACTCGCCATTTGAGACTACTTTATCTACATCCACCATAAACGTTCCCGTAAATGATCATCTATGGAATAACTCTGCGATACTTTTGTGTTATTTTCAATTCATGAATTTAATTAACGATCAATATGGCGGAGCTGCAGCTTACTACATAAGTAATGCAAGCATAAAGGTTAGTTCAAAAGTAATACAGGTATCAATTTAACTAAAAATTAAATCTACTCTTCTATTTTTTATTTTCATTTTAAGTTATAAATATAAGTAAATACATAGGTTATATGTGTTTATATGTAGATGTATTATGGATTATAATACATCTACGTATAAACATGTAGATTATAATACTATAGATATAGGTTACGTGTGCTTATGAAGAGAAATACTTAGATGATACTTGCATCCATTGTCGTACTAGCCAATGATAGCAGCTGATGCAAATATCGTCTAAGATAGCATTTTAAAATTTTCTTTAATATTCTTTTAGGTTTATGAAGAAAGACGAGATGAGTGTTACGTAGAATGCATTACTACATTTCTTTGGAAAAATGTGCAAATTATGGAAATATATAACACCACATTATTTTTGTGTGTACGTTTTACCTTTTTTGAATTGGCTATATATATAATAGGCTATATTTATGTGTATTTAAATAATTATTCAATTGAAATGAATATTTTATATACTACGATTTTTTTTTCAGATGTAAAAATGATATATTTTTATTAGGATTTATAAATATTGGAGTTTTGCTTTGTATATGTGCTTTGCCCTTCCATCAAGACAACGCTTCTGCCCATAGAATTACCATTGTTCAGAAGTTTCTGCACTATAATAACTAAAGATGTTCCTCGTGCACCTTATGAACTCGACCTTGAACCTCTTTCCAATGCTGAAATACACCCTATTCATCTATGGCATGGTCGATTTTCCAATGGACAAAACATACCCTTAAAGCCATGCAATGGTTTTTAAGGATATGTTTTGTACCTCGTACAATTTGAATTAATTTAGTCTTGCATTAGTTAACTAACTTTTGGTACACTTTATATTTGATGAATTCAAAGTATTAGTTTTATTGATATAAAATAATATTTTTAACATATTATTACAATGTACTAGGGCCCAAAAGTAAGATAACACTGCAAGATTAATCGTAGTTTCTGTTAACAGAGTAAAAAAAAATCTTGGAAAAAATTTGAATAAACATAATAATAAGAAAATATAAGGGATGGCCCAAAAATTAGTTAACCATTCTCTGTTACAAAGTTTATAAAAATTGCTTAAGATAAGATCCTCCTTGTTTAGTAAACGTTTTAATTTATTGCTGCGAATGTGCATAATTCTTGGTTAACCGAGTTATGGGTCACCCCTTATTTATATATGAAATTTTTTAAAACGTATACTGTATTTTTGGTTTGTTTTCAAATAACTTTAAAGAATGTTGAGACCGCACTGTATAAATTAACAACATGATACATCCTATTTATAAGTCTGTATAATTATCGAAATAAAATATTTGTTTCTGTACATGTAACCTATACCTAACTATTGACTTTTGAATACTCCCTCTCTACATAATTTATATCGTTGTAAAACGTCAGGACGTCCGACACAACCCATTTGTTTCCTCAGGACAACTGAGGAAAAACAACCTATTTAAAACCTAATGGCGCCATCTGTTGTGATATTTTATTTAATTTTGCACCTCTACCCTCAAAAAAAAAAAGCTTAATTTTGAGGGTAAAGATGAGTTTAATATAAAAAAAAGTGTAAATACTAATAACCAGTGAAATCTTCATTATGTCCGACCCCCAACCAAGTATAACGTATAATCTCTATATCTTCCCAGCTCCCTACCTTTAACTATCAAAAATTTAATATCAACAATCCTCCTAATACACAAATCTCCCTGTAAAATTTCAGTACCTTTCGACAAAAGACACGGGAGTTATTAAGCTTCAAAGTAGGTGAACGAAAACACACACACACTGACATTCATACGTGCAGAAAAAAAGAACCCGAAAATTTTGCATTTCTGGGTGTCTCAAGGTACCCTCATTTCCAAAATTAATCTCGGGGGGGGTCATTTTCTGACCGATCGACATACTTTTCCTCTGTTATATATAACTAGCGTCTAATTACAGAACGATTCCGTAGCCGTAGTTTTGTTTTTTTACCACGAGATGTCGCTACTTCGTGACGTCAAGAAGCTGAACAAGCATAATTCTGACTGTAGTGTAAATACAATACACCACAGTCAGGTACATAATATTTTTAATTACTACTGAATGAGCTGTTAATTAATATTCATGAAAACAATTATTTTAAGATATATTAATTAAATACAGCATTTTTAAAATTTCAGAAGAGATTTTACCTTTCATATTTTTGAATTCTAGCTTCTCAATTTCACAAGCAAATCCATGTACTGTACTGGTACAGTACTTTCTCCAAATGTTCACGTAATCGAAGGAAAGTAGAAAATCCTTCAAGAACATGAAGTCTCACGACAGAATATATAGATTTTTCCTCCACCAGGATTTGCTTATTTTCTAAACATACATGCTTGTTAGTAAGATTTTCTTTTGTGGAGAAGCGCTTATCTTGATAACAACAAGTATTTTCTAATATGTCCAACGCAATATTTTCCATCAGTGGCGTACCGTGGGCGTCAGCCGCCCGGGGCGGAAGAAAATTTCGCTCCCCCTTATTTAGGTATTTCAATTTAAAAGACCAAAATTCAGTTTTGTCACAGAACAAGCAATGAAAAATTCGGTGGTAGTGCAGCGACCTGTTTAAAATAGTTCTATTGGATATTAGTGGTGTATATGAACGCGAATGAATCGTACAAGCAAAAAAAAGGTCAACAGCTTTCGCAGGAACTCCTCGGATGAAAAAGTTACTAGTTCACCCGGCGAGCCGATTCCCGGACTGTCCGGACAATAGCACTATCGTAGGCGCCATACAAGTATAGATTAGGATGTTTCAAATGTTTACAAGATATTATTATTGTTTATTGTGAAATTTTGCCGCCCCCTAAAAAGTGCCGCCCCCACTACGGTACGCCACTGTTTTCCATAACGATTTCTTAGCAACGTAGCGGGAATACTTCAAAACCAATTATCGATGATAAAGTATGGTTTTAAAGCTAAACTATCGACAAAAAATTCCAAGCACACCGTACAGTACGAGGTATACGCTATCTGAACGTCACGACACTAGCGGCATCTCGTGGTAAAACCCAGAACTATGGCTACGGAATCGTTCTGTAATTAGACGCCAGTTATATAAATATATATAACAAAGGAAAAGTATGGCGATCGGTCAGAAAATGACCCCTCCCCCGAGATTAAGTATACTGTACACCCTAGGACTTCCAAAAAATGTCATATACTGAAGCCTAATGAAACAACTAATTAACGTGCGTAATGACGGCTAACTACAGATACTATTCCACCAGAAATGGACCCACCATTGGGTGAAACTACTGAACACTGGTCATGGATTCGGGCCTCGCTAACGAGTAGGCCACGCAGAGTTTACTGGGGATTTTCTTCACGTGTCACAATAGGGGCCAGTTTCCAATAAAAGATATTCCCCCTCGTCAGTTGGCCCGTGTGTCGCGTTGTCGTATACGAATAAAATCGTATCAAACCAATCCAACAGAAAAGAACTCATGAAGGATTTTATGCAAATGCACATTGTGTCTTTGTCAACTATTGTTTTATATTATTTTTATACTGGTATAAATCTGCTAATTAACATATAAACAATTAAAATTAACATTGACCCGCTTTAGAATGATTATAATAATAATCATGGTAGTAGTAGTAGTAGCATAAGTGGGGATAAAATTCACAAATTCTATGTGTAATTAAAAGATGAAGTTTCTAGAACAAGGTTTTAATTTATAGAACAATACAGAAACTGCTACTACACTGCAGCATGGGTTCGAATCCGTGCTAATTCTATAAAAAATTTTCATTTGGAGCACGTCCCTAACCACCCGGCCTCATTGTTGGCCTAGCCGAACCCACGATAGGTATTGGAGAAAAGACCCTCTTAGTGTTCATAAGGCGGAAAAATGAAAAAGTGAAGGAAAAAACACCTCTAAAAGCTTCACAAATCAGTTCGTTCGTTTATTTATTAAGTTACGGCGATGCAACACTTAAGCGATCTATCTAGGGGGGTGCTTTCCGGAAGGTCTTCTATGCATAAATAAGGGTAACAGACCCCTATTTATGCATTACAGACGTGAATAAAATCAGGAAAACTCCACGTAATCAGTCTGGGCTAATGAAGCTCGAACCCACGACCGAACTAAACACTGGGGAACTTCCAGTGTTTAGAGAACAGAACCGCTTGGCCACTGGTGGACCCAGTTCGTTCGTATTCTCAATTAAATGAATTTTAGATCAATGTGTAATACAGAAATTGCAATTTATTAAAAATACCGAAGAAAATGCCTTCCGGGAAGACTCTATGGGAAACTAACACTTATTTCTTTGTTTTATTAACTCATGAAGAAACCCGGAAAATTCCACGTGGCGAGGGGAGAACCCACGACCAACTATCAGTGTAGAGTAGTTTTATCCACTCGGCTACTCGTGGGGGCGAGAGACAGAAAAAGTAGGTGTTGAAAACCTATAATAGGACATTTATAAGGGCTCAGACTGAAATTTATGCATTAAAATGTAAATTATAAAATCCAGAAAATCAATTTAGAGCAGTTTCAAGCAAAGAATGTTACAAACCGAAAGTGCCGAGTCGGAAGACAGTATACAGGAGATTAGAAGGTCTTAGTCCCTGGGTCTGTGATAGTTTTGTACGGTCCTGAGCATTAATATCGCAATGAAAAGATAGAAAGTTCACATTAGTATGTAACTTTTTTGTAGAGCATGTGTTAATCCATCTTATCTTACAGTTCCGCTTCTCATTACAAAGGGTCAGAGGTCAGCCATTCCCAATGACTCTACTGTTTATTTATTGTCTTAAATATTCTATGACCCAGTTAAGATTAGTGTTGTAATCCATCGAACAAGATCTCCTGTGTAGACAGTAGCAAGGTGTACAGTACATTACACTTCAACAGGAACACAGGGAGCTTAAGCTAATTCATTAAAATATATTTACTAAATATTCATTAATATTCTAACAACCTAAATGTCTATAATTAACGAAAATTATAATTAACGAAAAAATAACGAAATGCTAATAATAAATAATCAATGTTAAAATTCTAATAGCCATATTAAACTTACTGTTTTTGAATGTAGTAACGATAATACATTCTATTTTATATATTAATTAATTAAATTAATATCCGTCTGACCGTCTTCTACGCGCTTCTAAACCCATAGATCTGTACTAATTTTTCAAAGTTATTCTCAAGGATCCTGCGAAAATATCCACTAATTCTATAACATCTGAAAGATTTGATCAGTGTTAAAATACAGTAAAAAAGTTAATTTAAATGTAATTATATAACCTATTTAGAAATGTGTTTTGCATACATCCTTCTAAATAACATGCATTATTAAAATTGTTTATTACGGAAACATTAATTATTATAAGGTTATGTCATTGAATATATCCTATCTCCTTGATCAAGGGATATAATCTCCTTTAAATTCGTATTTTCGACATTTCACACAACATTTTATTGTTGTGATCCTAGCGAATTATACCTCATAACACAGATAAACGTCAAGAAGATGAATTGTTTTATCTTGTTCCTGATAAGTATATTTATTTCGCTTTATATAAATGGTATTTACAACTTTATTTTATATATATATAAATTATCTTTAACATCATAAAANACAATAACAAGTAAATAAAGCTTCATTATTTATTATAACGATTATGTAGATCATGAATAATGAGTGATGAAACGATTTAATTATTAATTAATTAAACATTTTCTTGTGTTAAATGAGTCATACTAATGTATTGTTAATAGGTTTAAAACGTCATTTAATTCTTAAATATAGAAAATGAAGGCTGCTACAATTGTTTTCTTTCTCTTGTTCTTAAAAGGTACGTTTATAAATTACACCCTAACTTAGATATATTTTGAATTATAACACACATAATTTGTATTTTATAGGAGTAATGTCTTATAATATTAGAGAAAAAAGACAATATGTAAGATTTTAAATCAAATATTCTTTGTTTTAAATCTATTTATTTATAAATTAGAAAGTCTAAGGCTTTAATAGTAGGATGAAATCAGGGGAGGAATGTGGTGTTGAGGTTTTATTGTAGCATTTATTTTCCGCTATAAAACTATGAGTAACTATGAACTTGTTGCAGAATGGCCCTTGATCTTAAATGCACCAAATTTCTCTCATAGTTATTCTCAATATTATTCTCTTATGAGAATATATTATTAGTTATTCTCTAAGGAAAATATGGGCTACCCCATTTCTATCCTGATTTCATCCCCTTGACACATAATAATGGTGGACTAAAATAATCAAACTTTTTAAAATTTTGTAAATATTTTCAGGTGAATGTCCCTGCACTACCTGGTCCAAATCCTCCGAAAAGTTCGAGCAATTCAGCAAATAGTTCACCTTACTCAGATTTCATTTACAAATTAATAATTATATATTATAATGTAGAAACTCGAGATTTGGATTAATATAATTAAAAAATACATTATTAAATTCTAGAATTTGTAATTAAATTTTAATAAGAATGTAGAAAGTAAATCATTTTCTTGTATGTAGTAGTAATAATAATAAATTACGTTTAAATATATAAGGACTAGAAAATACTAAACAGGTTGCTTGGTCAAACATACAGGACTTTCTATGTAAAAAACATATTAAAAAAGTGATATAAATTAAAATTATTTGAAAAACTGATGAAATTTTTGTTTTTATTCATTTTATTAATGGGTTAAGGCAAGCAACATGCCAAGGGGGTGCCTCCCAGAATGACAGTCTGTGAGAAACTGGACCCTATTTAGGTGTTATTAATGCGAAGAAAACTTGGAAAATTGCACCGTCGTGAGGTGAGAACCCGCCGGTGTTTCCGTCCTTTGAGAGTTCACTACATCGAGAGTCTCTGCTGTGTGATAAACACAGAAATAATTTTGTGATGTGTCGCCATCTGTCGATTAATAAATTTATATCTATATAAATATACATAATATATAAGTGTATTATGTAGTCCCCCAGTAGTCTATTTGCGTAGGATCTCTACGACCTCCTACGCAAAATCAATTTTAGGGGTACTAAATTATGACTTATGGATTTAAATATACTTTGAACGCCTGAAAAGATATACACCATTAAAAAATACACATAATACAATAGTATCTATGTCTGTAATTATCAAATTGTGGACCTAATACGTTCCCACTGTCGTTCATACACAGGTAAATTTATACACAGGTACGTATAAAAATATATAACAACTTTAAAATCATCAAACACACAATATTTTTAAATTTATTTATTTATTTAACAGCTTTATGTGTTACACAATTAACAGCCCATCTGTTAAACTGTCCCATTGTCTGTTCGGAGCATCATTTAACCTTCACCATCGAAGATGTATGCTGCTGTGTTCCTTCTACTCGCTCTATTTTCCCAATGTAAGTAATTATTATATTAACAATCGTAAGTTACGTCACGCAACACTATAATACAGTTTCTACAAGTATATTATAATATATATATACTTTATTTTTATAGTAATGCCTTTGTATAGATGCGAAGAAGATAGAGACTATGTAAGATAATCATTAGGTGTTATTAGATTTTAGTAAAGTTATAATTAATTTATAATTATTTTCAGGTGTCTGTATCTTCTCTGCCTGGTCCAAATCCTCCCCAAATACCGTGTGAATACGAACTTAACTATGCAGATTACTTATATTGTAATGCAAGAAACATTTATAATAAGATAAAGGCTCGAATATTTGAGTAATGCATTCGTAATTAAATATTTCAGAAAGAATAATTGAATTTATTCACTTATCTTCTGTAAAATTTAAAAATAATAATAATAATAATAATAATAAATGTATTGTTTATTAAATACGATCGAAGTTTTTGTTATTTTTTCTGTAATTCTTTTATTTAAAAAAACAATTATTAATTATAGTCGTAATAGCAATTCTCAACCAGTAGTACACGTACCACTGGGGGTACGCAAGAAGGCACAGAGTGAAGAAAGATTGAAAATCGTTGGATTATATTGTTTATTTAAAACACAGATCAGATTATAAAACAGTAGAGAAATAAAAAATGTATAGAATAATTAAAATTAAATATTAATTATTTAGGGCTGGTTTTGATTGCTCTGCAGAGGGGGAATAGCCTTCCGGGGGGCATTTTATGGAAACTGGTCCCTATTTAGGTGTTAATAACGTGAAGACACACCAGAGATCGAGTGGATAAAATCACTTAACACTCGTAATTGGTCGTGGATTCGCACCTGGCCATTTTGGTGGGCTTTTCTTCACATTTGTATCACCTAAATGGGGGGTAGTTTCTTATAGAAAGTCTGGCCCCCCTCGGCAGATCGCTCACTTGTCGCTTTGCCGTCTGCAACTAAGCCCTACTAACGTAAAATAAGCCATACTAACGTAAAGAAAACCCCATAAAGTTCACGTGACCAACTTGTTGGCGAGGCTCGAACCCACGACTAACTACCAGTATTCAATGGTTTTGTCCATATGGCCGCTGGTGAGTGGCAATCATTTAACTTTACTTCTATTTAGAATGGATTTAACAGATAGATTAGACTATCTTTTCCCTATTTAAATTGGCTCTAAAAATTCCCTAACTAAAGAATACTTAGAGAAATAAAGGTGATTTTTCATCTATTGTTTAAAATAAATATAAAATTGTATAATTTACACAGAAATATTCGAAGTTTTCATAGAAAAATCCCACTGTAAATCTGATGTACAGGTTTATTGATACCATTATAATTACCTCTACTCAATTTCCTTATTAAAAATTATTAATTATGTACAATATATTTATGTAAATCTTTTATTTCTTTATATTGTTAAAATATAAAAACACTTCTATACTATATTACCCAACAGCATATATTTTTCTACATGTTTTAATTAAAATTACATAGTACAGTACATGATCATCATCTTCATCACCAATGCCGGGATTATTTTCTTTGATCATCTTTGCAGCTTTCTGTACGCAAGGTAAATTTAAATAATTTTAAATATTCTATAATTTATTGCAGCTTAAATTTAGTTAATTTGACGTGTACACTGTACAGCTTCCTCCTAAAAAACCGCCATTAATTGAGCCATGGAATTCTCATAGATTGGGTGTCATAAATTATAGTTATACTCATAAAAATTAACTTAGAAAATCATAAGGGATGATTTAATAATTTTAATGCTTAAATATAACATTTCGTTACGTCATAATAGAATAATTATACTAGTAAAAGCGAGTGATTTTAAAGGAAATGGTCGTAAACCGGGGTTTATTCGATTTCGTTTGATTGGTTGATATTTCGTTGTTTTTATTAATGTATAAGGTTTATTTATGTAAGCTCTATATTTTATTACTGTAATAATTTACATTTTTAGAAATTCAAGAAGCTTATATTCCTCGTAATGTTAAGAATTCAAGACTTGCAGAATCTATGCATTTACATTCTGAAATGAATATAATGGATACACGGCCAATAAAAATTCCTTTCGTAAATCCTAATATTAGCGTAGAAATCTTTTCTACGAATCCACTTACTGGAAATTCTTCTAGTACAAGCAAAAACATAGACGAAGGGCCTTCTAATATAACAACAAAAAGAGATGAAGAACCTTCTAGTACAGCAACAGAAACAGGTGAAGAGTCTTCTAGTATAACAGCAAAAACAGGTGAAGAGCCTTCTGATACAACAACAGAAACAGATGACGAGCCTTCTGATACAACAGAAACAGGTGAAGAGCCTTCTGATACAACACAAACAGGTGAAGAGCCTTCTGATACAACACAAACAGGTGACGAGCCTTCTGATACAACAGAAACAGGTGAAGAGTCTTCTAGTACAGTAACAGAAACAGGTGAAGAGCCTTCTGGTACAACAACAGAAACAGGTGAAGAGTCTTCTAGTACAATAACAGAAACAGATGAAGAGCCTTCTGGTACAACAACAGAAATACTTTCTTCAACTATACTCGAAAATCCTTCTACTCCAAGCACAGAAATATCTTCGAACTTTCCTTCTGAAAACCCTTCTACTGCGAGTACAGAGACAATTTCTTTAAACTCGCCATTTGAGACTACTTTATCTACATCCACCATAAACGTTCCCGTAAATGATCATCTATGGAATAACTCTGCGATACTTTTGTGTTATTTTCAATTCATGAATTTAATTAACGATCAATATGGCGGAGCTGCAGCTTACTACATAAGTAATGCAAGCATAAAGGTTAGTTCAAAAGTAATACAGGTATCAATTTAACTAAAAATTAAATCTACTCTTCTATTTTTTATTTTCATTTTAAGTTATAAATATAAGTAAATACATAGGTTATATGTGTTTATATGTAGATGTATTATGGATTATAATACATCTACGTATAAACATGTAGATTATAATACTATAGATATAGGTTACGTGTGCTTATGAAGAGAAATACTTAGATGATACTTGCATCCATTGTCCTACTAGCCAATGATAGCAGCTGATGCAAATATCGTCTAAGATAGCATTTTAAAATTTTCTTTAATATTCTTTTAGGTTTATGAAGAAAGACGAGATGAGTGTTACGTAGAATGCATTACTACATTTCTTTGGAAAAATGTGCAAATTATGGAAATATATAACACCACATTATTTTTGTGTGTACGTTTTACCTTTTTTGAATTGGCTATATATATAATAGGCTATATTTATGTGTATTTAAATAATTATTCAATTGAAATGAATATTTTATATACTACGATTTTTTTTTCAGATGTAAAAATGATATATTTTTATTAGGATTTATAAATATTGGAGTTTTGCTTTGTATATGTGCTTTGCCCTTCCATCAAGACAACGCTTCTGCCCATAGAATTACCATTGTTCAGAAGTTTCTGCACTATAATAACTAAAGATGTTCCTCGTGCACCTTATGAACTCGACCTTGAACCTCTTTCCAATGCTGAAATACACCCTATTCATCTATGGCATGGTCGATTTTCCAATGGACAAAACATACCCTTAAAGCCATGCAATGGTTTTTAAGGATATGTTTTGTACCTCGTACAATTTGAATTAATTTAGTCTTGCATTAGTTAACTAACTTTTGGTACACTTTATATTTGATGAATTCAAAGTATTAGTTTTATTGATATAAAATAATATTTTTAACATATTATTACAATGTACTAGGGCCCAAAAGTAAGATAACACTGCAAGATTAATCGTAGTTTCTGTTAACAGAGTAAAAAAAATCTTGGAAAAAATTTGAATAAACATAATAATAAGAAAATATAAGGGATGGCCCAAAAATTAGTTAACCATTCTCTGTTACAAAGTTTATAAAAATTGCTTAAGATAAGATCCTCCTTGTTTAGTAAACGTTTTAATTTATTGCTGCGAATGTGCATAATTCTTGGTTAACCGAGTTATGGGTCACCCCTTATTTATATATGAAATTTTTTAAAACGTATACTGTATTTTTGGTTTGTTTTCAAATAACTTTAAAGAATGTTGAGACCGCACTGTATAAATTAACAACATGATACATCCTATTTATAAGTCTGTATAATTATCGAAATAAAATATTTGTTTCTGTACATGTAACCTATACCTAACTATTGACTTTTGAATACTCCCTCTCTACATAATTTATATCGTTGTAAAACGTCAGGACGTCCGACACAACCCATTTGTTTCCTCAGGACAACTGAGGAAAAACAACCTATTTAAAACCTAATGGCGCCATCTGTTGTGATATTTTATTTAATTTTGCACCTCTACCCTCAAAAAAAAAAAGCTTAATTTTGAGGGTAAAGATGAGTTTAATATAAAAAAAAGTGTAAATACTAATAACCAGTGAAATCTTCATTATGTCCGACCCCCAACCAAGTATAACGTATAATCTCTATATCTTCCCAGCTCCCTACCTTTAACTATCAAAAATTTAATATCAACAATCCTCCTAATACACAAATCTCCCTGTAAAATTTCAGTACCTTTCGACAAAAGACACGGGAGTTATTAAGCTTCAAAGTAGGTGAACGAAAACACACACACACTGACATTCATACGTGCAGAAAAAAAGAACCCGAAAATTTTGCATTTCTGGGTGTCTCAAGGTACCCTCATTTCCAAAATTAATCTCGGGGGGGGCATTTTCTGACCGATCGCCATACTTTTCCTCTGTTACAGCGTCTAATTACAGAACGATTCCGTAGCCGTAGTTTTGTTTTTTTACCACGAGATGTCGCTACTTCGTGACGTCAAGAAGCTGAACAAGCATAATTCTGACTGTAGTGTAAATACAATACACCACAGTCAGGTACATAATATTTTTAATTACTACTGAATGAGCTGTTAATTAATATTCATGAAAACAATTATTTTAAGATATATTAATTAAATACAGCATTTTTAAAATTTCAGAAGAGATTTTACCTTTCATATTTTTGAATTCTAGCTTCTCAATTTCACAAGCAAATCCATGTACTGTACTGGTACAGTACTTTCTCCAAATGTTCACGTAATCGAAGGAAAGTAGAAAATCCTTCAAGAACATGAAGTCTCACGACAGAATATATAGATTTTTCCTCCACCAGGATTTGCTTATTTTCTAAACATACATGCTTGTTAGTAAGATTTTCTTTTGTGGAGAAGCGCTTATCTTGATAACAACAAGTATTTTCTAATATGTCCAACGCAATATTTTCCATCAGTGGCGTACCGTGGGGGTCAGCCGCCCGGGGCGGAAGAAAATTTCGCTCCCCCTTATTTAGGTATTTCAATTTAAAAGACCAAAATTCAGTTTTGTCACAGAACAAGCAATGAAAAATTCGGTGGTAGTGCAGCGACCTGTTTAAAATAGTTCTATTGGATATTAGTGGTGTATATGAACGCGAATGAATCGTACAAGCAAAAAAAGGTCAACAGGTTTCGCAGGAACTCCTCGGATGAAAAAGTTACTAGTTCACCCGGCGAGCCGATTCCCGGACTGTCCGGACAATAGCACTATCGTAGGCGCCATACAAGTATAGATTAGGATGTTTCAAATGTTTACAAGATATTATTATTGTTTATTGTGAAATTTTGCCGCCCCCTAAAAAGTGCCGCCCCCACTACGGTACGCCACTGTTTTCCATAACGATTTCTTAGCAACGTAGCGGGAATACTTCAAAACCAATTATCGATGATAAAGTATGGTTTTAAAGCTAAACTATCGACAAAAAATTCCAAGCACACCGTACAGTACGAGGTATACGCTATCTGAACGTCACGACACTAGCGGCATCTCGTGGTAAAACCCAGAACTATGGCTACGGAATCGTTCTGTAATTAGACGCCAGTTACATAAATATATATAACAAAGGAAAAGTATGGCGATCGGTCAGAAAATGACCCCTCCCCCGAGATTAAGTATACTGTACACCCTAGGACTTCCAAAAAATGTCCTATACTGAAGCCTAATGAAACAACTAATTAACGTGCGTAATGACGGCTAACTACAGATACTATTCCACCAGAAATGGACCCACCATTGGGTGAAACTACTGAACACTGGTCATGGATTCGGGCCTCGCTAACGAGTAGGCCACGCAGAGTTTACTGGGGATTTTCTTCACGTGTCACAATAGGGGCCAGTTTCCAATAAAAGATATTCCCCCTCGTCAGTTGGCCCGTGTGTCGCGTTGTCGTATACGAATAAAATCGTATCAAACCAATCCAACAGAAAAGAACTCATGAAGGATTTTATGCAAATGCACATTGTGTCTTTGTCAACTATTGTTTTATATTATTTTTATACTGGTATAAATCTGCTAATTAACATATAAACAATTAAAATTAACATTGACCCGCTTTAGAATGATTATAATAATAATCATGGTAGTAGTAGTAGTAGCATAAGTGGGGATAAAATTCACAAATTCTATGTGTAATTAAAAGATGAAGTTTCTAGAACAAGGTTTTAATTTATAGAATATAGAAAACTGCTACTACACTACAGCATGGGTTCGAATCCGTGCGAATTCTATAAGAAATTTTCATTTGGAGCACGTCCCTAACCACCCGGCCTCATTGTTGGCCTAGCCGAACCCACGATAGGTATTGGAGAAAAGACCCTCTTAGTGTTCATAAGGCGGAAAAATGAAAAAGTGAAGGAAAAAACACCTCTAAAAGCTTCACAAATCAGTTCGTTCGTTTATTTATTAAGTTACGGCGATGCAACACTTAAGCGATCTATCTAGGGGGGTGCTTTCCGGAAGGTCTTCTATGCATAAATAAGGGTAACAGACCCCTATTTATGCATTACAGACGTGAATAAAATCAGGAAAACTCCACGTAATCAGTCTGTCCTAATGAAGCTCGAACCCACGACTGAACTAAACACTGGAAGTTCCCAGTGTTTAGAGAACGGAACCGCTTGGCCACTGGTGGACCCAGTTCGTTCGTATTCTCAATTAAATGAATTTTAGATCAATGTGTAATACAGAAATTGCAATTTATTAAAAATACCGAAGAAAATGCCTTCCGGGAAGACTCTATGGGAAACTAACACTTATTTCTTTGTTTTATTAACTCATGAAGAAACCCGGAAAATTCCACGTGGCGAGGGGAGAACCCACGACCAACTACCAGTGTAGAGTAGTTTTATCCACTCGGCTACTCGTGGGGGCGAGAGACAGAAGAAATAGGTGTTGAAAACCTGTAATAGGACATTTATAAGGACCCAGACTGAAATTTACGCATTAAAATTTAAATTATAAAATCCAGAAAATCAATTTAGAGCAGTTTCAAGCAAAGAATGTTACAAACCGAAAGTGTCGAGTCGGAAGACAGTATACAGGAGATTAGAAGGTCTTAGTCCCTGGGTCTTTGATAGTTTTGTACGGTCCTGAGCATTAATATCGCAATGAAAAGATAGAAAGTTCACATTAGTATGTAACTTTTTTGTAGAGCATGTGTTAATCCATCCTATCTTACAGTTCCGCTTCTCATTACAAGGGGTCAGAGGTCAGCCATTCCCAATGACTCTACTGTTTATGTATTGTCTTAAATATTCTATGACCCAGTTAAGATTAGTGTTGTAATCCATCGAACAAGATCTCCTGTGTAGACAGTAGCAAGGTGTACAGTACATTACACTTCAACAGGAACACAGGGAGCTTAAGCTAATTCATTAAAATATATTTACTAAATAATCACTAACTGAATACTAAATATTCATTAATATTCTAACAACCTAAATGTCTATAATTAGCATAATAACGAAATGCTAATAATAAATAATCAATGTTAAAATTCTAATATCCATATTAAACTTACTATTTTTTAATGTAGTAACGATAATACATTCTATTTTATATATTAATTAATTAAATTAATGTCCGTCTGACCGTCTTCTACGCGCTTCTAAACCCATAGATCTGTACTAATTTTTCAAAGTTATTCTCAAGGATCCTGCGAAAATATCCACTAATTCTATAACATCTGAAAGATTTGATCAGTGTTAAAATACAGTAAAAAAATAAATTAAACTTAATTATATAACCTATTTAGAAATGTGTTTTGCATACATCCTTCTAAATAACATGCATTATTAAAATTGTTTATTACGGAAACATTAATTATTATAAGGTTATGTCATTGAATATATCCTATCTCCTTGATCAAGGGATATAATCTCCTTTAAATTCGTATTTTCGACATTTCACACGACATTTTATTGTTGTGATCCTAGCGAATTATACCTCATAACACAGATAAACATCAAGAAGATGAATTGTTTTATCTTGTTCCTGATAAGTATATTTATTTCGCTTTATATAAATGGTATTTACAACTTTATTTTATATATATATATAAATTATCTTTAACATCATAAAATCTAGATTAAAACTAGCAGATATATTTTTCTATTCTTCACAATTTTTTATTGTAATTCGTGTGTATAATCCATAAGAAATTGATACAATAACAATATAATCTTCGTATAACCCGCACCAATGGAGGGACAAAAACTTTCTCTCCGTGGCTAATTGTTTCTAAGACAAGTCTGAAATTGTGCGGGTTATACCCCAATTTTAAAGTAAAATAACCCGCTTCATTGTATACCCCGAAGCCATGTTCCATAAGTGCGGGGTTTACGATGAAGCGGGTTATTTTACTTTAAAATCGGGGTATAACCAGCATACTTTTAAGCAGTTGTTTTAAAACATGAAGAAAAACTTTCTATTTTTACTAATTTTCAGTGTTTAATGGACTATTTCCTCCCTGTTTAGTACCTTATAAACCTAATAAGTAATGAACTTAATAAGGTTTTAAGTTTTTAATTAATAAACTTGCTAATTTAACCTTTCATTTACAGTCGACCCCCTATAACACTGTTGATAATTCCGTTTTATATGAATTCCATGTTGTACGAGTCACTTAGATTTTACAAATATGTGAGCGGTTCAAAGCCCGGCACACGCATTTATAAAATCTAAGTGACTCGTACAACATGGAATTCATATAAAACGGAATTATCAACAGTGTTANTTATAAAACAGTAGAGAAATAAAAAATGTATAGAATAATTAAAATTAAATATTAATTATTTAGGGCTGGTTTTGATTGCTCTGCAGAGGGGGAATAGCCTTCCGGGGGGCATTTTATGGAAACTGGTCCCTATTTAGGTGTTAATAACGTGAAGACACACCAGAGATCGAGTGGATAAAACCACTTAACACTCGTAATTGGTCGTGGATTCGCACCTGGCCATTTTGGTGGGCTTTTCTTCACATTTGTATCACCTAAATGGGGGGTAGTTTCTTATAGAAAGTCTGGCCCCCCTCGGCAGATCGCTCACTTGTCGCTTTGCCGTCTGCAACTAAGCCCTACTAACGTAAAATAAGCCATACTAACGTAAAGAAAACCCCATAAAGTTCACGTGACCAACTTGTTGGCGAGGCTCGAACCCACGACTAACTACCAGTATTCAATGGTTTTGTCCATATGGCCGCTGGTGAGTGGCAATCATTTAACTTTACTTCTATTTAGAATGGATTTAACAGATAGATTAGACTATCTTTTCCCTATTTAAATTGGCTCTAAAAATTCCCTAACTAAAGAATACTTAGAGAAATAAAGGTGATTTTTCATCTATTGTTTAAAATAAATATAAAATTGTATAATTTACACAGAAATATTCGAAGTTTTCATAGAAAAATCCCACTGTAAATCTGATGTACAGGTTTATTGATACCATTATAATTACCTCTACTCAATTTCCTTATTAAAAATTATTAATTATGTACAATATATTTATGTAAATCTTTTATTTCTTTATATTGTTAAAATATAAAAACACTTCTATACTATATTACCCAACAGCATATATTTTTCTACATGTTTTAATTAAAATTACATAGTACAGTACATGATCATCATCTTCATCACCAATGCCGGGATTATTTTCTTTGATCATCTTTGCAGCTTTCTGTACGCAAGGTAAATTTAAATAATTTTAAATATTCTATAATTTATTGCAGCTTAAATTTAGTTAATTTGACGTGTACACTGTACAGCTTCCTCCTAAAAAACCGCCATTAATTGAGCCATGGAATTCTCATAGATTGGGTGTCATAAATTATAGTTATACTCATAAAAATTAACTTAGAAAATCATAAGGGATGATTTAATAATTTTAATGCTTAAATATAACATTTCGTTACGTCATAATAGAATAATTATACTAGTAAAAGCGAGTGATTTTAAAGGAAATGGTCGTAAACCGGGGTTTATTCGATTTCGTTTGATTGGTTGATATTTCGTTGTTTTTATTAATGTATAAGGTTTATTTATGTAAGCTCTATATTTTATTACTGTAATAATTTACATTTTTAGAAATTCAAGAAGCTTATATTCCTCGTAATGTTAAGAATTCAAGACTTGCAGAATCTATGCATTTACATTCTGAAATGAATATAATGGATACACGGCCAATAAAAATTCCTTTCGTAAATCCTAATATTAGCGTAGAAATCTTTTCTACGAATCCACTTACTGGAAATTCTTCTAGTACAAGCAAAAACATAGACGAAGGGCCTTCTAATATAACAACAAAAAGAGATGAAGAACCTTCTAGTACAGCAACAGAAACAGGTGAAGAGTCTTCTAGTATAACAGCAAAAACAGGTGAAGAGCCTTCTGATACAACAACAGAAACAGATGACGAGCCTTCTGATACAACAGAAACAGGTGAAGAGCCTTCTGATACAACAACAGAAACAGATGACGAGCCTTCTGATACAACAGAAACAGGTGAAGAGCCTTCTGATACAACACAAACAGGTGAAGAGCCTTCTGATACAACACAAACAGGTGACGAGCCTTCTGATACAACAGAAACAGGTGAAGAGTCTTCTAGTACAGTAACAGAAACAGGTGAAGAGCCTTCTGGTACAACAACAGAAACAGGTGAAGAGTCTTCTAGTACAATAACAGAAACAGATGAAGAGCCTTCTGGTACAACAACAGAAATACTTTCTTCAACTATACTCGAAAATCCTTCTACTCCAAGCACAGAAATATCTTCGAACTTTCCTTCTGAAAACCCTTCTACTGCGAGTACAGAGACAATTTCTTTAAACTCGCCATTTGAGACTACTTTATCTACATCCACCATAAACGTTCCCGTAAATGATCATCTATGGAATAACTCTGCGATACTTTTGTGTTATTTTCAATTCATGAATTTAATTAACGATCAATATGGCGGAGCTGCAGCTTACTACATAAGTAATGCAAGCATAAAGGTTAGTTCAAAAGTAATACAGGTATCAATTTAACTAAAAATTAAATCTACTCTTCTATTTTTTATTTTCATTTTAAGTTATAAATATAAGTAAATACATAGGTTATATGTGTTTATATGTAGATGTATTATGGATTATAATACATCTACGTATAAACATGTAGATTATAATACTATAGATATAGGTTACGTGTGCTTATGAAGAGAAATACTTAGATGATACTTGCATCCATTGTCCTACTAGCCAATGATAGCAGCTGATGCAAATATCGTCTAAGATAGCATTTTAAAATTTTCTTTAATATTCTTTTAGGTTTATGAAGAAAGACGAGATGAGTGTTACGTAGAATGCATTACTACATTTCTTTGGAAAAATGTGCAAATTATGGAAATATATAACACCACATTATTTTTGTGTGTACGTTTTACCTTTTTTGAATTGGCTATATATATAATAGGCTATATTTATGTGTATTTAAATAATTATTCAATTGAAATGAATATTTTATATACTACGATTTTTTTTTCAGATGTAAAAATGATATATTTTTATTAGGATTTATAAATATTGGAGTTTTGCTTTGTATATGTGCTTTGCCCTTCCATCAAGACAACGCTTCTGCCCATAGAATTACCATTGTTCAGAAGTTTCTGCACTATAATAACTAAAGATGTTCCTCGTGCACCTTATGAACTCGACCTTGAACCTCTTTCCAATGCTGAAATACACCCTATTCATCTATGGCATGGTCGATTTTCCAATGGACAAAACATACCCTTAAAGCCATGCAATGGTTTTTAAGGATATGTTTTGTACCTCGTACAATTTGAATTAATTTAGTCTTGCATTAGTTAACTAACTTTTGGTACACTTTATATTTGATGAATTCAAAGTATTAGTTTTATTGATATAAAATAATATTTTTAACATATTATTACAATGTACTAGGGCCCAAAAGTAAGATAACACTGCAAGATTAATCGTAGTTTCTGTTAACAGAGTAAAAAAAATCTTGGAAAAAATTTGAATAAACATAATAATAAGAAAATATAAGGGATGGCCCAAAAATTAGTTAACCATTCTCTGTTACAAAGTTTATAAAAATTGCTTAAGATAAGATCCTCCTTGTTTAGTAAACGTTTTAATTTATTGCTGCGAATGTGCATAATTCTTGGTTAACCGAGTTATGGGTCACCCCTTATTTATATATGAAATTTTTTAAAACGTATACTGTATTTTTGGTTTGTTTTCAAATAACTTTAAAGAATGTTGAGACCGCACTGTATAAATTAACAACATGATACATCCTATTTATAAGTCTGTATAATTATCGAAATAAAATATTTGTTTCTGTACATGTAACCTATACCTAACTATTGACTTTTGAATACTCCCTCTCTACATAATTTATATCGTTGTAAAACGTCAGGACGTCCGACACAACCCATTTGTTTCCTCAGGACAACTGAGGAAAAACAACCTATTTAAAACCTAATGGCGCCATCTGTTGTGATATTTTATTTAATTTTGCACCTCTACCCTCAAAAAAAAAAAGCTTAATTTTGAGGGTAAAGATGAGTTTAATATAAAAAAAAGTGTAAATACTAATAACCAGTGAAATCTTCATTATGTCCGACCCCCAACCAAGTATAACGTATAATCTCTATATCTTCCCAGCTCCCTACCTTTAACTATCAAAAATTTAATATCAACAATCCTCCTAATACACAAATCTCCCTGTAAAATTTCAGTACCTTTCGACAAAAGACACGGGAGTTATTAAGCTTCAAAGTAGGTGAACGAAAACACACACACACTGACATTCATACGTGCAGAAAAAAAGAACCCGAAAATTTTGCATTTCTGGGTGTCTCAAGGTACCCTCATTTCCAAAATTAATCTCGGGGGGGGCATTTTCTGACCGATCGCCATACTTTTCCTCTGTTACAGCGTCTAATTACAGAACGATTCCGTAGCCGTAGTTTTGTTTTTTTACCACGAGATGTCGCTACTTCGTGACGTCAAGAAGCTGAACAAGCATAATTCTGACTGTAGTGTAAATACAATACACCACAGTCAGGTACATAATATTTTTAATTACTACTGAATGAGCTGTTAATTAATATTCATGAAAACAATTATTTTAAGATATATTAATTAAATACAGCATTTTTAAAATTTCAGAAGAGATTTTACCTTTCATATTTTTGAATTCTAGCTTCTCAATTTCACAAGCAAATCCATGTACTGTACTGGTACAGTACTTTCTCCAAATGTTCACGTAATCGAAGGAAAGTAGAAAATCCTTCAAGAACATGAAGTCTCACGACAGAATATATAGATTTTTCCTCCACCAGGATTTGCTTATTTTCTAAACATACATGCTTGTTAGTAAGATTTCCTTTTGTGGAGAAGCGCTTATCTCGATAACAACAAGTATTTTCTAATATAT